GAGTGACGATCAGTTTATCGCCTTCTTTCCCCAAGTTCGATAATCTTACTTCTTCGTACATTTAGCTAAAATGAAGCATGATTCATTGTAAAATGCAGTTATAATTAGTAGAACGTCGAAACAATCAAAACAGTTTGTCATGTTACTTTTTATTTAAGGAGGTAATTTTTTTCAATAATGTTTAATAAAATAATTTCATATTTGGAAAACAAAATAATGGAAATCCAAAAGCGGAGAGAGATAATAATAGGAGAGAGATAATAATAGAGAGATATAAATGCGCGTTTTTAAAAGACAAGCTAACAATTAAATTGACATCGATTGAGATGTCTCTTTAAATTTTTAAAGATTTATTTCGTTTTATAATTGCAATGATAATTTTTTTTTAACGTGATCTGATTTTTAGATAATTGTATTTGATAGTTTCAATTAGAATTTAATTTATTATAATTTATCAAGATTATCGTTTTTTCGCTTATGATGACACGTATATAACAAAATCATAATCTTGAGCTTATATTCCTGTGTTATGCTTAGATAAAAAGGCCTTATTTGGTAACTGTTGAAATTAATAATTGTGAATCACATGCAAACCCTAACTTTGAAATATAATGACGCTTTAATGTAAATAGATTGAAATGATTAGTTGAATGACGTTTTACGACAGCATTTTAACTCGAATACTTTTATGGCTGTTAACGACCACTTAACAAACAACTGTTATTATCTTCCATTTACTGTACACGTCGTGTCGGTCACGGCTGCGGTTAAAATATGCCGATACTAACGCACATGCGGTAATTAATTAACAATTAATGTGTAAAACAGTTTGTCGGGAAGAAATATGAAGTATTAATCGTCACGTGTCTTACATTATTTATCGATCAACTTAAACGAACAAATAAATTCTAATAACTTTAAAAAATTGAACGCAATGGTATTTCGTGAAATTTAACTTGATCACGTTATTAGAAAGATAGTTTATGTACTATTTGTTGGTACTATTAGTTTACTGTTTATTAGTACTATTTTATTTTATTTGTTAGTCTAATTAATATTATTAATTATATATCATATCGATATTATAAAAAGAATGAATTTGCTTCAAATATAAATTATAAAAAGATAATTATAAAATGGATAAATTTTAATTAAACAACAAACATTTTAATTAACATAACAAAATTCAATTTAAATTGTTTCACTAAAAAGATTAAAGAAGAAATATCTAATTAGTAATAAGACTCATAAATTTAAAAAAACAAAGAAAAAAGAGGACTACGAGCCAAAAATTATTATATAAGATAAAACATGATAATGTATTGCTAGCATTCTATATTAAATTTTTAATTTAAAATATTTCTGTTTTTTTATCGTTTTTTTTTTACATTCTACATTATCATGTTTTATCTTATATAATAATTTTTGGCTTGTGACCCTCTTTTTTCTTTGTTTAAAAAAAAAAAAATTCTTGCAAAGAATACAGAGTTTATTTAAAAGTAAAATTTGCTTAAATAATACTTTGTATCTAAGTAAAAGTAACATTCGTTTCCTTAGTGCCAGTTATAAACATACATCGATGTATTCTCTAAATCATACTATTTTTGAACATATGTCCAACATCAAGCATTAATATCGATCGAAAAATATTCATCGTATTATATAGTAATAATTGTAATCGAATTACACGAGATACACATCGTAATTACTGAAAAGTAAAATTGATAGCATATTGACCGTTTCATCTCGATGATAACGTTTTAAGATTGACACCGATACGCTATCAAATACTTTTTCACGTTTCTTGAATTTTCCATTAATTGTTGTTGTGATACCTAACGGATGCACTTAATAATTTTTAAATATACTTGTTTATTTTCCACTTTAAATATTTCTTTTGTAAAAAAAACAGTTGCACATAGTGCATGAGAAATTGTAGATGAACAAAGATATATCATTATTATTTTAATTCATTTTTATGTAAATGTATATAAAAATTTTTTGTTAATATTAATATAGATGTATACTTTAAATTTTTACAATGAACAATCAAAACATTTTCTATTGATATTTTAGTGATTTATATTAATACAATAAATATATTTATAAATCGTTAATTCGACAAAGAATACAAAATTAATTAAAATTATAAAACAACTTATTAATATATTAATAAGTTATTATGTATACTGAGAAACAAGTCAAAATCGTAAAGTAAATGTTATGTGACATTTTCTTCGATATTTGTTGGTTATAAAAAAATTTGATGAAATATATGATGAAATATACATTTCTGTGAAACAAACATTACATTCTATAATTAAATTTTTAAGTATGTTTTTT